AACTGGCTACAGAACCACTTTCCAGACCCTTGGAACCCAGAAGACATGGCACAGGAAGTGGTGCTTTTCTACCTTAGCTGCCACTGCATAGCCCCAAGTCAACACAAGTCAGGAGTGGAGGGAACCATATCTATTATCATGTGGCTCTCCTCCCATACTATCCACCTGGGGCAGTAAAATGACTTGAGACAGCCCTGCCTTATAGCTAAGCATAAGGAAATAAACATGGCTTGCCTCCCTCCGTTTTCCCCTTCCCTCTGCTGCCCCACCAGCCACAGCCGGGACACTCACCTGGAGCCTCTTTCTAGAGCTCGTCGTATTTCTTCCCACAACAGGCCTAGTTAATAAATAAAAGTATTGAGATTCCGCAAGAGGCATTCCTCCTTTTCTCACACATAGGATGGAATCTGTCTTCCAACAAGATGTTTGCTGAGTCACATGCACAGATATTACTTGGAAGCAGAAGAAGAAGAAGAAGAAGAAGAAGAAGAAGAAGAAGAAAGAATGCCCCCCCAATTGATTTATTTATATTTATGCGGAGGAACATTGATTACATCCATTACTCAATTCACAATTCAATACTAAGAAGGCTTCAGAGGACGCATTGTTCCCTCTACAGGTGAAGTAAGATGGAATTAGTTAAAATTATTTAATAGGGTGATCAAAGCAGTCTGGATTTCAAAATTCAACCAGAACACAAATTGAAATGGATTAAGGTAATCCATTTAAGGGCACTGTATCACTTCCAGGCACCTGGATTTGAATTGTATTACAGTTTTGGAAACCTTGCTCCACAAGCCAGCATGTGGGACTTGGATCTGAGAGACCAAAGTTTGAATCCCTACTCTGCTGCAGAGGCTCGCTGGTGACTTGGGCCAGCCACTCACTGTCATCCTAACCTACCTTACTAGGCTATTGTGAGAATAAAATGGAGAATGTTGTAAGCCACTGTGAGTTCCCATTAGAGAGATAAGATTGGGTATAAATGATGTTTAAATAAATAAATGCAACCTTGGTACTGAACTAAGGTAACCACAGTCAGCAGAGTCATGCAATGGTTTTTCAAAGAAGTCTGGCTATTGCCTCCTGAAATGGACTATAGATCCCCCTCCCCCACAGTGATGCATTGATTTCTAAAGTGACCAGACCAGAGACTCACTAATGGCTCACTGTTACTAAGAAGGCTTCAGAGGACACATTGTTCCCTCTACAGGTGAAGTAAGTTGGAACTTATCTAGACAACTGTGATTTGCAGGTGAAATTAGTTGCATTCATTCCAACTTGGACACTGGTTAAGTTTGGTGTAGTGGTTAAGTGCACGGACTCTAATCTGTGAGAATCGGGTTTGATTCCCCACTCCTCCACATGCACCTGGCTGGATGACCTTGGGTCAGTCACAAGCTCTGGCACAGCTGTCCTTGAAAAATAGCAGTTTCTGTCAAGAGCTCTCTCAGCCCCACCCACCTCACAGGGTGTCTGTTGTGGGGAGGGGAAGGGAAGGAGATTGTGAGCCGCTCTGAGACACCTTTGGGTAGTGAAGGTAAATCCAATCTCTTCTTCTTCTTCTCTTCTGTGATGCTGCAGTACCAGTGTGTACCTGCTAAATGCCTTTCAAAAAGGCCCAGTGGACTATTGATGGTTCCAGGGTGTGGCATAACAGCCCCAATCAGACCTGCCAGCCCTGTTCCATCCTGCCTTTCTAGGCATCTGGGCACCAGTGGCCATCCAAGGTCTCCTCCTGGCATGTGTCACCCACCCGGTTGTCCCAACACTCAAAAGGGCTTTTCTCTCCCTCTGTCTACTCAACTACTGCCATCACCTGGCCATTGTAGGAACTGCCTATGGTGATGGCCAGGGCTCCCAGCTTCCCTTCCTTGTACTGCTATTCTAGAGACCCGTGGTATACCTACCTGCCCAGCAACTGGTTACCTGGGGATAACTTGTGCCACCACTGCTGCGGGAATAGCCACTTGCCAATGGAGTGCCCCTCCTCTTCTCCAGGTGCGCCTTTGAACATAATGTGTCCAAAACAGTGGAGGCCTATATGGCAAAAAGAAGTGCTACGGTGGTCCCAGAGGGTTTGCATTACCTCGAAGCCTCTCTTCAGGGCTGCAGTCCTCCACGTGGCAGTGGCCACCTTCAGCAGACCCCAGGTGAGAGCTCCGCTTGCCTCAAGGGGATCAGCACAAAATAGACCCTCCTGTTCATACCAAGTAGTTTTATCATTTCTGTTTGCCCACCCTTGTGGGGGGGGGGGAGTGTCAAAGAAGTCCTTCCTGAAGTCTCCAGGAAGAAACACTTCTAACAATGTAAACCTCCAGATTCTGTTCCCTGCACGATGTCACCTTTCTAGATGGGGACAGGAAGCTTGAACTGGGGCTGCCAGGTCCAAATGAGAAGCCAGCGGGGGGGGGGGCTTACCAGGACGCTCTGGGAGAGGGGAGGGAGGGAAGAAGCACGTCGGTGACATCGGGGGCAATGCTCTGGTTTTTGGGCAGAATTGAAGCTAATTCTAAAATAGAGTTTTGTCCAAAAACCAGAGCATCACCACCACCACCACCCCCAGTGTCACCATCACTTCTGGGTGATGTAGGCACATCACATTTAGGGCGGTAACTCTCCCCCACTGGCCACCTGCCTGGCACCAAGGGGGGAGCACTGGAAACCAGGGGATCCCCCATGGGTGTGTGTGTGTGGGGGGGAGACCTGGCAACCCTAGCTTGAACATCCCTTTGTCTCTCACTAGACCGATTAGCATTTCTAAAATGGTGGTTGAGGTGAGACCGGAAAGCACTTGAATTGACTCTCTCCCACACACACACACACCGCCTGTTCTCTGCCAAGTGAGGAAAAAACTTTTTAAAACTCAACGTGAAGGTTTTGCTCAGTTCAAACCCCCAAAGGCAAAAAAAATCTTTCTCTTCACATCACACCTCCCAAGTTGTTTTTTAGTTTCTCACATTAAATTTTATTCTGCTTGCAACAGAAATCAATGGTCCATGACAAATTGAAAAAGAAACAAAGGTACTAATTTAAACCTGTCTAAAAATTCTTATTCTGGTTGTATTATAGCTGAATTGTGGTTCTTAATTTGTTATCAGTTTTTTAAGAACACCTTGGTTTATATTTAATTTTTACTGTAATACAGAGAACCAGTTTGGAACACAAGTGCAAGTAAATACAGTGAAACACTGTTGAGAGGTTTAAATATGACACGGCATTTAAGAAGAATCCTAGGGAAGAAATAAGTCTGTTTGCATGTGGGAAAGTGGTTTTTAGATTAGTGCATTCTCAGTAACACCATGTGGTCTGAACAACTCTGACTGTACAGTGCAAGTATCCCTCTCACTTTAGATTGAGGGAAGTCACTGCTTGTACCCTGTAAGTTGGTAAAATGTTTAGGGAGACACGTTTATTTGTTACATGTATTGCTAGCATTTTAGTCCTGTCCTTCTTCTAAGGAGCACAGGGAAACACGCATGGTTCTCTCTCCTGTGTTATTTTCAAAAAGGCTCTGTGAGGTAGGTTAGGTTGAGAGAGAGTGGCTGGTTGCACGACATTAGGGTGATGGTGTGGTCTTCCCCTCTCCCACCCCTAGCATGGCCATTCGCTACCATTCCTCTGTACCCCACACCACAGCCTTTGACAGTGCTGGTTGCTCCTGGTGCAGCAGTATTGTACAAAGCAGCTATGTTGGTGCTATGCTAATACTCAAAAGTTGTCGCAATAATTGTTGCTTCTCCTGAATTGCTTTGGAAGATGGTGCTGCTCCTGTTTGGGGTTTTATCCTCTTACCTCTGGCATCCTTGAGCATGGGTCTCTGGGGACATCAGTGAGTAAACACATGAAGTACCTGTGGCCCTTTCTGAACTTTTTTTTAAAAAAGGCAACCTTGGAAGCTGTACATTTCCCAATAAGGCAGAGTAGCGGGGGGGGGGGGGGCTGGACATAGGAAGAATGGGTTGTGTAGGGGAGAGTTAAACATTCCCCCGTGCTGTAGCTGTGGTCCAAATTAGGGCTGCACACAACCATTTACAACAAAGCCCACACAGACCCAGCCCCTCTGAGAGCCTGTCTTTGAGCATATTGTCTGCTTTGATCTTCCTGTAATCCAAGCAAGATGATGTCTGTAGAGTGAAACATTATCTGACCACACATTTTGTGCACTTCATAAACAGACCACGAATGAGGTTGTGGCTTTATCACAGTGTTCCATCCAGCACTGTTGAAGTTACCTGACAGCAGTCAGACATCACAGGGAAATGCAGTTAAGGGGAAATGCACAAAGCCCCAGGAACCTGGCTGAAGTCTGTAAATTAAAAAAGGAATAGGCTGGACACTGTTGCTTCTGGAGGTGGAAAAATTAATTATATCTTGAAAATTAAAAAAAAATGCACATCTTTAATAATCACACAATGAATCACAGCCAAAATATTGTGCAGCTTTTCAAACAGAAACCTTTCAAAAATTCCTACAGTCACCTGTGGATCTGCACGTAGTAGAGCAAAAGGAAGTTAGAAGTTTGTCGCGTGGGCTGCAGGGAGGGAAAGAGCAGAGGTACATCCTAACCAGCGATACCACCTGGCTGAGTATTTGGGTCCCCCCCCCTCTTGCTCAGCTTAGACAGGGCCAGAAGTTTGACACACACACACCCTCTCCTTGGGAGTGAGCGGAAGCCGATTAGTTTGAGGCCCAGGCCTTTGGAAGAGGCAGCATGTGAGTCCAGGTCCAGGACCAGCCCAAGACACGGCTTGCTGCTTTGTTCGTGTTTGCTGGTTTATGGATATCATGGCGTTCTTTAGTCGTAAACCCTTTGGGGAAAGCAGGATACAAATGCTCAAATAAATGAATGAATCCTTACATAGCAGTGTCTTCCATCGTGTGCTTTATAATACGGGAAATGGCACTTTCTTGCTATTCATGAGGCCCCCTGTTCTCTGCTGTGTAAATGAGGAATGCTCCATGTACATGTGACGGAACAGTCCTGTTCTGACCTGCAGGCCCTGTCCCTCACTGCCCTCCAAGGCATCTGGGCTCCAGTGGATGCCCAAGGGCTCCACCTGACATAGGCCACTCACCTGGAGGGGCTCCCCACCCCCGTTCAACCACTGCCACCACCTGGCCTTTGTAGGAGTTGCCCACTGCGAAGGCCAGGACTCCCCGCTTCCTTGCCCTGTTCTGAGACCTCGCTTCTGTGTCTCCTGCTATCCAGTGTCTGGTTACCGTGGGGGCAGCTTATTGTCGTGTATACAGCTTAGGGAGGAGCATTTTACCAACTGACTGCCCCCCCGCACTTGTTTTTAAAGTGCCATGCCTAAAATGGAGGAGTAAGGTGGTTCAGAGAGCTGCTACCAGCATTAGAAGTTATAAAACATTTATTAAAAACAAAATGTCCACAAGTATACTTTCAGCACAACACCAGATCCAACAAGGGATTCAAAAGAACAGGGTAAAATGCAATTCCTCAGTACCCCTCTATGTACATGTCCTAGTAGATGCCCTAGTAGATGTTAAATATAAGGCAGGCTCCTTAGCTTTGAAGGTTATAGTTGTTCTAAAGCAGGGGTGTCAAACATATGGCCCAAAGGCTGGAACTGGCCCATCCAGGGATCTTATCCGGCCCATGGGCAACTGGTGCGAGGGAGGAAAGGCAGGAGGCTACTCCAGGGGGGTGGGGGAGTGGGCACACACAGTAAGGTGTGTCTGGTCAAAGCTGTCAAGAGATAGGAAGTTGCTAGGGGGCAGGACTGAGGTAAAGTAATGTGGGGGGAATGGCAGTGAAGGCAGAGAAAGAGGAGGTGTGGTTTTCCCCCCTCCCTCCTCCTCCAACTGCAGCTCAGAGAGGATGGGTGAAGCCACTGCAAGAGGAGAGGGTGGAGCTGAGCGTCTGGTGCTGCCGCCACTGCACCCAATGGCAACCACGAGGGGACTGGCGAGAGTGGGCGTGTGGAACAGTGGTCTGCTGGCACAGGGATGGGGCCGGCAGGGGAGAGAGGAGGGGGAGGAGGGGGGCCGGTGTGTGGATGGGGAGGCAGCTGGGCTGCCTTGTGCATGCTGCTCTGCAGGGAGAGATGTCCCAGCCTCGGAGGAGAGTGGAGAAGGGAAGGGGGAAAGGGGCACCCCTGTCACCCCTGCATGCATGAACAGCCACAGACCTGGGTGGTATCATGAGTGTTGGAGCAAGTGGGGGGTGGTGACCGCCTCTCCCTTCTCCCTCCCACCAGTTCTCAGCCCCTGAGGGAAAAGAGGTTGCAGGACGACAAAAAGCACCCAAAGATTTTGGAAACAGCCTCTCTGTAAGGCCCCCCTTTCAGCACCAGTTTCTGTGGGAAACGCAGGAGGGATAAGAACTGGGGGGGGGGTGAGAGGGTCTGGGAGAACCAGGTTCATGCCTCCCCTTCCTGAGTTAGGGCCCTGTCGCCCGGGGCCAGTCGCTCAGCCTAGCCCACCTTGCAGGGTTGTTGGTGGTGATGGGCATGGGGCAGCGGAGGGGGGAGCCTTGTGTGCCTCCTCAAGATCCTCAGAGGCAGGACGGGGGGGGGGGGAAAGAGAGGAAACAAAGAGCAAGGGACGGATTGTAGCCGTGCTTGGCTGCTAAGGCTGGGCATGTAGGGGAGGGGGTGCTGAAAAGGAAGACAACTTGCAAGGAAGACGACTCATCTTCTAAAAGTGCTCTGTATGTAAGAAGTAACTAGTTTGTATGGAAATATAAAATACCCCACCCCCTTATGGCATCCCTTGGGGGGGGGAACCTTGTCTTGCATATGATTAAATGCATTTATTGTGACTTTTGTGGACTTCCCAGTAATCAATTGATTTCACTCCTAGGAATCAATTGCTTGAGGAGGGGGACATCTCTCTGGGGTGGGGGCTCCCTGGAGCCGGCCAAAAGACCCCTGAGGGGCAGTCTGCACTAAGCAGGGGCACAAATCTAAGACAATGGCCTCATACAATGTTAGCACAAGCATTGTACAGTTTTCACACAATCACAGCAAAAAGCCCGCCGGTTCAAAGCATTCCCCAGCCACAAACACAATCACAAAAGCCCCCTTTGCACCAAAAAAAGCTTCAAAACACCCAGGGATTCCATTTCCCAGCCCCCAACCCACGGCCAGGCGCTACACCCTCAGGGGAAAGCCGACACATGGCCACCATGCTTCCCAGAGCTGCCTGCCCTTGCCCTCCCCTACCAGCAGGGCCCTCAGGTGGAGAGGGAGGGGGGAGCACTCATCAAATCTTCGACTTGACATAAGGGACTCCTTAGTTCCTCCTTGCCATATTCGGAGTGGGACATTATCTAACAAGTCCCCAAGAGTCTTCTCCATGTGCCTAACTGACTGTCTCTGCTTCTCCAGGTCAGCCACCTAGGCCTCAAGGGAGCAAAGAACTGTTAGATACACCTGCGGCCATAAAGAAACCCAGACAAACTGAAGCCTCTCCAATTACACAGTGCATGATGAATTCAGGCTTCTTACAGGTATTTCAGACTCCATGGTCAACTGTGCAAAGAAAAATACCACCTGAACAGTCATTATCACCAGTGCAAAGGGAATACCTCTGCCATTTCACACGCTCCCTTATCCTTATAATTTCTTTAGCTGAATTAGGCGGGATATAAGCCTAATCAATAAATAAATAAATACATTCTTTTGTATTAGCAACTGACCTTTAGCTGGGACTCTCAGAATGATAATTGATATACTTGATAGACTATTACTGTTTTTAATTAGGGGAAGCACTTAAGATAACATGTTTTTTCTTGCCTGGAAGGGGAGAGACCACAGAGAACTCATACATAAAAAAGCTAAACCGTAGTTGTAAATTAAATGAATTTTTATGGCAGTGTTTTTCACACTATCTACCTCTGGGGAATAAAACAGGATTCAAGTGGGACTTTAAAAACTAAGAAAAATTTATTCCAGCAGTGTGAAGCATGAGATGTACAGTCATTAGGTACATGCATTTATAATCAAAGCTGTAGACTACACAAAAAGCGTGGGGAAGAGAAATGTTACAAAGAGGCCAATTTAAAGCAATATGCATTCAGAAGAGTAATCAATCCACTCAGTAGGTGAGGACCACTCCCAGCAGTTGATAGACAAGAGTAACAGAAAACAAGTCTAGTGTGTGATAAGCAAATCCAGTTAGAGGTATTTTTGAACTAACATTTATAAGGAGTGGGATGGGCTAATATTTCAGCAGCTATCATGAGAGACATATACCAGATCTCTTTGAGACCTGGCATGGAGATAATAATGAACTTTTTGATGAATGCTAATTGAGCAATTTCTCGTTAGATTCTCCCTTTGAAGTTCTTTGGCAGGAGAATAGTGGCTATCATCAGAATGCCCCTGGAAGATTAAAATGATCTACTGATTTCTGAATATTGCAATATCTAATGTCAGATTTGTGTCCATTCATTGGAGGATGGGCAAATTAATGAGCCCAGAATGGTACAGCAAATGTTACTAAGTATAGTGAGTTTACTGAGTAAATATGAGGGCAATGTTGGTGTCTTGGTGTGTTGCAGGGTCTGGTTCCGGTTCCTAAGTCTGTCTCACTGTTAGGTGGCCCATTATTGTTAGTGAGAAGTTGTTTTGGGTTAAAGGCTGTCTGTAAGTCAGGAAAGACCTGCCGTTTGGGAAGCAGAAAAGCTGATGATCAGCAATTAGTCTTTCAGGTACTAAACAATTGTATTTTGCAGCCTGAAAGTGAAGACCAGTTTAATTAATTTTGAAGTCATCACAGTGGGCACTAAGTGTGCTGTTGTAGTTCTATTGATTTCAGTGGATGAAGTGAAACGTGTACTTAGTTATCCCAATGAAATCAGAGGCCCTTGAGTGCTTGTCTTTGGCTGGATGGTACTCAAAGAGAGTAACTTATTCTGGGCTCATTTTCACAAGTAGTTGGGAAACACACAGAAATTTCCTGACATTTGCAAATGATCTGTGTTCACTTTTTGTTCTATCCCATAAAACTGAATGAGTTACAAATCATCCTGGGTGATGTTTTATTGTGCTTGACAATACTTGAATGACCATTGTCAAATTCAAACCATACATGGAAAAGTTAAGAAAAATATTTCTTTGGGGAGTCTGTGAATATATGGAGGTCCCTATTTCCTCCACGAATGACATGATGGCAACTGATGGTGGTCTTTGGAACAAGAGGTAGCTCCGCTGGCTTCCCTGTTTTCCTCTGGGGCTATTTGTTGGACTACACGGGCCCTGCTCAGCTATTAAGTTCCCTGAAGGGCCACTTTGAGAAGGGAGACAGGACGGGTGCCTCCCCCCCCCCACCCTAAAGTGGCCATGGCCACAAACGCCACTTTTCTTGCTCTGGCACATTGGCAACCTCTTGCTGTCTGACAAAGAGCCAACAGCCACGCTGCCCCTATGCTGGAGCAGGGGTGCTCCTCTGTCAAAGGGGATGTAGTGCCAGCCCTTCTACTGTAGGGTTCTGAGTCAGGGAGAGTATATTGGTCCTCCATGCCCACGGACAGGCCCATCTTTCTCACACAGCGGCAGAGAGGGGTCGCACTCTGGGAGGCACCACAGGAGTCACAGAGAGTTGCAGGCCCACAGGCAGGTGGTCAGAGCAGCGGGACAGCTTGGTGATGAAGGAGAATTTCTCCACCGCCTGGGAATGAAGAGAGAGGCAGGGAAGGGAGAGAACTGAGCAAGGAAGACGTGGGCCAGGGGAAAAGAGGAAAGGGCAAGTGCATGGCCAGGGGAACGGCTGTAATCTCAGGTCCCGTCCCCCCGCCCCACTGTCGGTGGCATTGCATTGGATACAGGACGAAGGACCTTCGGATAGGCAGGCAGCCCAAAAATGGCATAAGACTGTCTAATCTTCCCCTCGACATGTGTGTCTAGTGGCAACAGACATTACCCTGGTATACATCAGCAGCAGGCACACCTTGCATGCCTGCAGTGCTCTGGAAAGATCAAACAGCTTCACGGTTTCAGGGGGGAGCCTGGGGCATGCCCAGCAAAGCAGCATGCCCAGCAAAGCCGAGGCCGAGGGGAGAACTGAACTAGGGACTTCCCTACCCACAGCTCTTCTTCGTTGGCACAACAAGAAGGAATTCAGCAGAGTCCTTCCTCCTCCTCCTTCTCCTCCTCCTCCCAGCTTCACAGAGAGAGTGGAAGCCAGGGATTCCCTGGGGTTCCTTCATACTTGCCATGGGCTCACTCTGAATAGTGCTGCAGCAAGGCCCAACAGGGGCCCCCCTCCTGCCACAGAGTCCCTCCTCCAGGTCTCTGCCCTAGCCCCATCTCTCAGCAGGGCCTCGGCTGGCACTTGCCCAGGCCTCTAGAGAAGGATTCGGCTCCAAAAGAGGCATTCAGAGACAATGGGCTGATTTCACACTAGAACTGCCTCGAGGTTGCGCCGCCATTTGCCCCGATACTATTGGTCAATTTCACACCCGAAGCCGCGGGGCTGCGTGCCCCGCGGCTTCGGATGTGAAATTGACCAATAGTATCGGGGCAAACGGCGGCGCAACCTCGAGGCAGCTCTAGTGCGAAATCAGCCAGTAGAGTTTGCCAACACTCTGGGCCCTTCCTGCTTCATAGGCAACAGGGATGTCATTCCTCCCCCACCCACTAGAATTTGTAAGCTCACAACTTCTCAGCTCACCACTTTCAGCTCCACGGGGCCAAGGTGTTCCCGGTAAAGGATATAGTCAAGGCGGCGCCCCTCACTCCATATTGCTGAAAGGTCAGGCTGCCCATCTGCCAGGATCGGACCTTCTAGGTACTTTTGCCGCTCCTTTTCATCCTCCAGAGTCCTGGAAGAAAACAAGTAAGTATGAAGAAGGAAGGGACTGCCTAGAAAAACAGCTGTTAGTGGCCTTGTGTTGTGGGTCAGTCAGGAGAGAAGGACTCTTCAGGAGGGGAAGTGTTGGGTTCTGGGTTCGATGCGTAGTGAAGACAGAGGCTGAGTGATTAGCAGCTCATGCTTTACTGGCACACAACACGACAACAAACAAACGGTCGAATGACAAACTATATACAGACCCCGGTTGCCACCCACAGGTCCCATTGGCGGGTTTGAACTTCCCGCCACAGTTCCAATAGGTGCTGAATAGGAGTCTCAGGATCCTAGTCCCCATTGTTCTTTTGGAGCCAAGCTCTGGTCACATAACCTAGTGATGCCTAGTGACGGTCAGCAGACATAACAGGAAGAGTCCTGTGTAACCAGCTCTGAAGCAGCAGAAGCTGGCAAGCAAGATGAACTGCAGCCCACAGTGAACGCAGAGCCACCAGCACCTTCCAGCCCCCACCCCCAGGTGGTCGTTACCAGCCCTCCAGTTTCACCCACACCCTTTGAGCACTGGAGACAAAGACTCAGAATCGAGCTCCAGGAGAGAAGACAAAAGCACACATCTCCTGTCCCGATGCCAGCTGCTTGCTGATGATGATTAGCTGCAGAGTTACTCCCAAGCAGTTGGCTGCAATTAAGACCTTGCAACAGATGCCTATAAAGGCCAGTCAAGGGAGACTGATTGGTGTGGAAACAATAAGTCACCACCTGGTTGACTTTGTGATCACAGTGCCTGACTCTGCTCCACTCCAGTGACCTTTGGACTGCCTTTGGACTTGGATAGCAGACCTACTTGTTCTTGTATATGACCTTAGACTGCTAGACCTTGCTTTCTGGGCTATGCTCTGAACTGGACTCAGCTCTCTGGTAACTGACCTCCTGGACTGAATCTTGACTCTGACTTGATTTGCACCTAGACTCTGACACCCTGCAGCTTTCCTGATGGTGCCCCACTATGGTCTTCCTCAGAAAGGCCCACCACCTCAGCTGCTCTGGAAGAAAGAAATAGAGAACCCCAAAGAAGACACCACCCCAAAGATGTTTTAGAAATTAACTGAAATCAGTATGGCAGAAACAATGTCCATGTCTTCCCTGACCCATAGATTTACTGTCCCCAGCAAGTGAAAATGCTGATGTTTTGTTAGCCTGAGGGGGATTTTCACCTCTCCAAGTACCCCCAGGCCTCTGCCTCACCTCTTCATGTTCTCTGGGGTTGCCACTGCCTCATCATAGATCTTGAGGGAGTTTATCAGAGTGCCTGTGGAATTCAGAGCAATCATTTTAGCCTGGAATGATACTTCCCCCCACCACCACCACCACCACTACATTTTCATGCTCTGCCTCACGTAGCTAATGAGAACATTCTGGGTTAAGAAAGGAGGATGTGATGGGGTGGGAGGAAGGGGAGGTTCTAGTAGCTTCCAGTTCCACCCCCTTGTCAAGGCCTCTTCTTCCTACTCCACCTTCCAGGCCATGCATCATGCAAGGATCTCACAGGGATGTCACACTGCAGAATACAAGATGTCTTACGACCAGATCTCCCACAGGGGGCCTCTGTGGCACTATGTGCTTTCCACCCCGTGGGCACTGGAGAGGATAAGGAAGAGGGAACCCTGGGGGAGGGAGGCTGAAGCCTGGTGGAGAGACACCCACCAAGAGCCCAGGGCTGGTCCCGTTGTGGCCCAATGCGGCATGGATCTGTGTACACACTGAAAATCTCATGGACTTGCTCCATCTCATTACCTAGGAATAAAGGAAAGGGGGGTAGTGAGGCGGCAGCTCCAGACAACCTAGTCTATCTGTTGCACCTCCCTCATGGTTGCTTTGCCCAGCTCCCACCTGAGGAGCAGTTGTCAAAGTTTAAATCCCCACAGAAGACGTCAAAGGCCACAATATCTCCATGCCGAGCATTTGTCTCCTGAAACTGCTCTGTCCAGTGCAGACATTGATTTAGCTGGTCATACCGGATCTGCTCACTATCTGTGAAGTAAAAATTGAGTTGCATTAGCATCTTGGCACACCCTTCACAAGAGTGCACATCAAACATTGCTGGGAGAAGAAGCAATGGATGCATTCCTAAACCATCCTTGGAGAACCCCAAGACCCAGAGGAACCCTTCCCTTCTCCTGGAAACTGGCATGGTGAGAAGCAGGTTCACAGACCTTTTTGGGGGGAGGTGGATACAAGCATGCCCCCCCCCGCCAGTACTACTACACCACAAGGCCAGGATGTTCCCGTCCATAACCTTATGAGTAGGAAATAGGTACAGAATGCCCTTTCCCCCATTCCTAGGAGAAGGGTTCAGGCTCCCCTGTGGAAAACAAGTTTGTGTGTAAGGTGGGAGCAGGGGCAGATTAACCATTAAGCAGACTAAGCACGTGCTTAGGGCACCAGGGCCAAAGGGGGCACCACAAAGTTGGGGAAAGGGTGAAAAGGGGGAAAAAAAGAATGAAGATTTGTAAAACAAAAATTGATAAAACTAGTGCACATTGATCATGGTGCACCCTAGGGTTATCTTATATGTTTTGTTGGCGAGGTGCAGTGTCATAGGCTATGAAACCAAGTTTGGGGGCACCAAGATTAGTCAGTGTTTAGGGCACCAGTGAGCCTTAATCCGCCCCTGGGTGGGAGGGGGGCTTTGTGGGAGAGGTGAATGCATTGCATGTTGGAGATCCCAGGTTCAACCACTGGTATTTAAAAATATTTACATAAAAATGCATAAAAACTCTCCTTCAAAGATGGCTGGGTAGCAGGGCTGGGGTTTCCCCTTCCTAAGGCCCTGCAGAGCTGCTGCTTATCTCCACAAACAGTGCTGGGAACAGAGATGGACTCTCCTCTGTGACAATTTCATGTGCTCTTCTTCAGTGGGAGATAACTATGCAAAGAATTGTATAAGTTACACTACAAAGATTATGGTCACAGCCTAGGGAACAAGCAGTTTGTATGGCTTGAAATAGTTATTAAATAGGATTTTAATTAAATAGGATTTGATAACCATGACGGTGTGATTGCTGACCTCGAGCCAGACATCCTGGAGTGCGAAGTCAAATGGGCCTTAGAAAGCATTACTAACAACAAAGCTAGTGGAGGTGATGGTATCCCAGCTGAGCTATTCAACGTCTTCTAAAAGATGAGGCTGTTAAGGTGCTGCACTCCATATGCCAGCAAATTTGGAAAACACAACAGTGGCCACAGGATTGGAAAAGGTCAGTTTACAATCCAGTCCCAAAGAAGGGCAATAATTTATTACTCATTATAAAATATAATAGATTAAAACATATATTTTATTAAATCCCCCAAATTACTTACGAGTTTGCCAGCTGGCCGTTTCAGTGGAATCTGTTAGTCTTGCAGTCATTCTTCGAAAACAGTACTACTGATCTTGTACTGGCTACTGATATTTTCCACAGTTGGACTTGGCCTTGTTTTTTATCTCTTTAAAGAGGACATCACCATATTGGTGGCTACTAACCACAGTGTCTAAAAGTGCATTTTCCATACTCCAAGGCAGCATACTTCTGACCATCAGGTGCTATCACCATCTTGCCCTCCTAGTTGGTTTTACCAGGGGCATCCGGCTAGCCGCCATCAGGAGCGGAGTGCTGGGTAAAATAGGCATTTGTCCTGACTTTGGCACTGCTATTCATTCTTCAGCTCATAAGGACCAGGTTCTGGCTTGGTCTGCTGGAGAATAATGTTGACATAGCAATTCCCAGAGGCAACCTCTAGAAACAGCCAACATGCCTCCTGCCTCACAACCATCAGCCATCTAGTCAGTAATACAAGCCTGTCTGTTGCAGGAAAGGACTCACACTTACCTGTGTTGGCATCAAGGTGGGTGCAGTACATGTATCCCACAATCCTTTGCCCTTGGGAAACTCCCAGCTGAACCTGAGACATGCAAATCAAGAAGTAATTGCAGGCAGAAGAGTGTCCGGGGGCAAATACTAAAGTCAAAGTGTGAAAAATGTGCACCTCAAGCAACCACAGTGGACTTGGTGCAGAACGAAGGACATGCTATGGTTTTACTTTTTCAGGAGAAAAACACAAATACCCATTTCCAGCAACAGCCATGTGGAAGCAAGGAGCAGCCAGTCTTGCCCCAGCATTGTATTCTTGGCTTCTAAGCATGCATTTTTGGGGGAGGGAGGCTAACAACCTATCCTTGTGGCAACTTAGTGGTCTGCCAGGCAGCCTTTCTCTGAGGCAAGAACAGAACAGGAATCTCTGTTGGGCTTTACCCTCACTGGAATCCAAGAAGTTGGGTTGAAGAGCTACTCCCCGTTCAGCCCCTCTCAGGACCGCTCCTAGGCTCCCCGGCCTTTATCCGCTTCACCTCTTGCTTCTGGCAGAGGACGACCACATAAGAACATAAGAACATAAGAGACGTCAATGTTGGATCAGGCCAAAGGTCCATCCAGTCCAACACTCTGTATCACACAGTGGCCAGAAATACCAGTGCCATCAGGAGGTCCACCAGTGGGGCCAGGACATTAGAAGCCCTCCCACTGTTGACCCCCCCAAGCACCAAGAAGACAGAGCATCACTTGCCCCAGAGCCCCTATCTATATACCTTGTGGCTAATATCCACTGATGGACCTCTGCTCCATATGCTTATCTAATTCCCTTTTGAAGCCGTCCATGCTTGTAGCCGCCACCACTTCCTGTGGCAGTGAATTCCATCACCAGCCATGTCCTTGGCTTAGCACAACCAGAAGAGCCCTGCTTTGGGCTAAGGGTGAGAGAAAGCACAAATCCTTGGCCAAATTAAGCTGTTTCCATACCTGCCGTTAGAGCACAGCAGACAGAAGGTCAGGAAAGGCCAATGGTGGGAAGAGTCTGATGAATGGGAGAGGCCAGGCTGAGGGGAAAGGGGTGAGAGAGAGGACAAAAAGGGAGCCAGCAAGATGGGCTTCCAGCTTCCCCAAATGCCCCGGCCGGCCAGGCAGTGCTGGTCTTCCCCAAAGAAGAGTGGAGGGAGGGTCGGAGCCACTCAGATTCTGGGACTTTCCAATTTAGGGGGGAAAGATGGTTCAGGGGCAAGTGACAGAAGTTTATAAAGTTATGCATGGGTTGAGGAAAGCAATACTAGAACTCAGGAGCACCCATTGAAGTTAATGGGCAATAGATCCAGGAAGGACGTGATTAAATTGTGGAGTTCACTGCCAGTGGACATAGTGACGGCAACGAAAATACATACATATGTACCATTAAGTTGCAACCGACTCATGGTAACCCCAGCAAGGGCCTTTCAAAGCAAGTGAGGAGCAGAGGAGGGTTGCCATGGCCTTCCTCTGCAGAGTCTTCCTCGGTGGTCCCCCATCCATGTACTGACCCTGCTTAGCTCCCAAGATATGACTATACCACGCTGGTATAGCCCACCCTCTTATGACCACTGCAACAGACAACTGTAAAAGGGGAATAGGCAGATTTATGGAGGGCTACTAGCCAAGATGACTAAAGGGACCCTCCACATCCAGAGGTAGGAATCCTCTGGATGCAAGTGCCAGGAGGCAATTTCAGCAGAAGGCCTTGGTCTACATGCAGCTGCTTAGTCACTGTGTAAAACAGGATCCTGGGCCAGATATTCTTATGCTCATGCCCACCACTCCCTGAACCACCATTCTCACACTTGCCCATGAACTGGGCAGAGTATCAGCAAATAGGTCCAAAGGACTCAGCTTCATCCCTCCCTCCTTTTAAAGGGGCAAAGAAAGCTGGTGATTTTGTGGGCAACCAACATCTGCTCCACTTGCAATCCGGGCTGGGAGCTGTGAAGCAAGGGCCCCTCTTTGGAGATGCAACACACAGAGTAGCGGGCTGTCCTTAGCGAGCTACCAGTGAGGGCATGGGTACAATCATGCAACCCACTAGTGATGAAGGGATCCCCCAGTTAGCGTGTCAGGCAGTATTTTAAGTACCCTGGCGTAATCCCTTGGGAGAGAAGACAATCCCACCCACACCCACCTCCCACCCACCAAAAACACCCTGTACCAATGCCAGTCCCATTTGCAACAGAGTTAGCCAGGTGCTTTCTAAGCAATTGTTGACAATTTAAGACTGCTAATAGGAAGTGTGGGAGGAACCGTGGCTCAGTATTAAAGCATCTACTTTCCATGCAGAAGGTCTTGGGTCCATTTCCACTTTCCCATGGAAGCTTGCGGTGTGACCTTAGCCTAACCTACCTCATAGGGTTGCTGTGAGGGTAAAATGGAGGAGAGGGTAAAATGGAGGAGAAGAAGTAAGCAAATAAATATATAGTCGGCAATGTGAAAAACTCTACCTGGGATTCTGGAGAGCTGCTGCCCATCTGAGTATCAACCATACGTACCTTGATAGATTAGTGGTCCGACTTGGTATAAGGCAGCTTTATATATATATATATGTCCCTGCCCCCCAAATGCTGCCCCTTACCTGAACACAGAGCAGTCCTTTGGCAGCAAGAATATCCACCTCTCTGCCGTTGGGGTAACAGTGGTACTGCACAGCCAGCATGGGGTAGCGGCTGGCCAGGAAGAGCCCGCTGTTGAGCAGTTTCAAGCAGTTGAGGCGTTTCCAGTAGCTACAAAGTTTTAAGCAACTGAGCCATTTCAAGGCAGAGCAGCAAATGAAACCATAGAAGCCCACGTCGTAGAGGATGTGCTCGTAGTAGGGGCCAAGGGACTGGAGCAGGCAGGCTGCTGCATCCGGGTCAAAAACCTCCTGCAAACACAAAAAGTCTACATTGGGGGGGAAGCAAGCCATGATCTCCCGTGGTGAAGTTGCCTTTTCCTCATCAAGGGGCATCTTGATGGCCATATCAATATCAATCCTGTAGGAGCTTGATTCGTTGGCCCCATACTTCTTCCCATTGGAGACGTCAAAGCCATTCCAGAAGTTGCCTCTGGAGCTTGCCTCCTGCGGCAGAACGATGTGGCTCGCAGCCTGCACAAGTCCTTGGGCAATCTGTTTGGCACGCTCCTGTGTCTGTCCCAGGTTACTGTATTTGGCCAAGCCATCAGGCAGGAGGCAGACGTTGGAACTGACAAAGCGGAAGGCCTTTGCTTTACCGGGAAGTATCCACTCTTCTGGGGGAGTCTGCCTGGGCACGTGTTGGTAAGCAAAAGGACGCCGTGCAACCTGGAGAAGAAGCCATACCGGCAGGCACAGCACCGTGGAAGGCAAAGAGGCTAGCAGGAGCAGCAGGAGAATGAGGCCCTTCAGTATAGCCCACAGGGCATACGGCAGGCATCGCCGGCTCTGGTACTCCCGCTTCTCCGCTGTGGTTTGCTTCAAGGCCAGCAGGTTGTTCAAGGACCAAAAGGTGAGCTTCATGACTCTTCTGACCATCGCATCCACATTCCTCAAGAAGCAACTGGAGAAGGGTGACTCTCGCAGACCCATGCTGTCCTTGGACTGTCCGGAGGAGCTGTTCTGAGTGTGGACGGGTTGCAGAAGGCTGGTGCCTGGGTCACCGTCCCTTTGTGCACAGGTGCTGCAAGAGAGAAAGAGTTGAGGGCTGGGGAAGCAGGGGAAGTGTCTCCTGTTCAGCAGCAGGGACCTGGCAACTCTACCCCCACCTCGAAGCCAGGAGTGGGGGGGGGATGGTTGTTTCGGGGTCCTGCCAGCTCCCAAGTATTTTAGATCACCTAACATTAGAGAGGATGTGTTAAGGACCATGCCTACTTTATCATGCCCTTGTTGTTTAAAGCTGTTGTTTTTTTCTGATGTGTTGTATCGTTGGGTGGCTCCCCACTTTTTGGGGGGCGGGGGGGGTCTTCTTTTAGTCTGGTGGGGTCTGGGTTGGGATAGGGTTCTTTTTAGGGAATGGTGCTTGTTAAGTCGCGAGCTTAACAAGAAGTCGGAGAGTGATTTCAGCAAGAATGCGGTTTATTTCTTCAGCTCAGTTACTTCTCCAACACGGTACAACAATCGCCAGCCAGAACCCATCAGAGATTTCAAGCAGTTGAGGCGTTTCCAGTAGCTACAAAGTTTTAAGCAACTGAGCCATTTCAAGGCAGAGCAGCAAATGAAACCATAGAAGCCCACGTCGTAGAGGATGTGCTCGTAGTAGGGGCCAAGGGACTGGAGCAGGCAGGCTGCTGCATCCGGGTCAAAAACCTCCTGCAAACACAAAAAGTCTACATTGGGGGGGAAGCAAGCCATGATCTCCCGTGGTGAAGTTGCCTTTTCCTCATCAAGGGGCATCTTGATGGCCATATCAATATCAATCCTGTAGGAGCTTGATTCGTTGGCCCCATACTTCTTCCCATTGGAGACGTCAAAGCCATTCCAGAAGTTGCCTCTGGAGCTTGCCTCCTGCGGCAGAACGATGTGGCTCGCAGCCTGCACAAGTCCTTGGGCAATCTGTTTGGCACGCTCCTGTGTCTGTCCCAGGTTACTGTATTTGGCCAAGCCATCAGGCAGGAGGCAGACGTTGGAACTGACAAAGCGGAAGGCCTTTGCTTTACCGGGAAGTATCCACTCTTCTGGGGGAGTCTGCCTGGGCACGTGTTGGTAAGCAAAAGGACGCCGTGCAACCTGGAGAAGAAGCCATACCGGCAGGCACAGCACCGTGGAAGGCAAAGAGGCTAGCAGGAGCAGCAGGAGAATGAGGCCCTTCAGTATAGCCCACAGGGCATACGGCAGGCATCGCCGGCTCTGGTACTCCCGCTTCTCCGCTGTGGTTTGCTTCAAGGCCAGCAGGTTGTTCAAGGACCAAAAGGTGAGCTTCATGACTCTTCTGACCATCGCATCCACATTCCTCAAGAAGCAACTGGAGAAGGGTGACTCTCGCAGACCCATGCTGTCCTTGGACTGTCCGGAGGAGCTGTTCTGAGTGTGGACGGGTTGCAGAAGGCTGGTGCCTGGGTCACCGTCCCTTTGTGCACAGGTGCTGCAAGAGAGAAAGAGTTGAGGGCTGGGGAAGCAGGGGAAGTGTCTCCTGTTCAGCACCAGGGACCTGGCAACTCTACCCCCACCTCGAAGCCAGGAGTGGGGGGGGGATGGTTGTTTCGGGGTCCTGCCAGCTCCCAAGTATTTTAGATCACCTAACATTAGAGAGGATGTGTTAAGGACCATGCCTACTTTATCATGCCCTTGTTGTTTAAAGCTGTTGTTTTTTTCTGATGTGTTGTATCGTTGGGTGGCTCCCCACTTTTTGGGGGGCGGGGGGGGTCTTCTTTTAGTCTGGTGGGGTCTGGGTTGGGATAGGGTTCTTTTTAGGGAATGGTGCTTGTTAAGTCGCGAGCTTAACAAGAAGTCGGAGAGTGATTTCAGCAAGAATGCGGTTTATTTCTTCAGCTCAGTTACTTCTCCAACACGGTACAACAATCGCCAGCCAGAACCCATCAGAGACTATACACTGGCTTCTCCGTATTTAAACATTCCCGGCTAATGTAGCCACCCCCACTGTACAATAATCAACCTATGAGGTTCGAGAGATAAGAACCAATCACAAGCGATCCCGCTTTGCATGGTGATTGGACGACATATTCAGGGCTAGGGCTCCTATTGGTTACATTAGGATCCTAGCCCAGGGCGAAGCTTAACATTGCATTTCTATCAGGCAATTCGCATATCAGTATATACATACAAGTCAATCCGAATACATAACAGTGCTTTAACGATTTCAATGGGTTATTGTAGTTTCCATATGCTGTAAGCCACCTCAGTTACAATTCTGCAAAGAGGTGAAATATAAATATATTAACTATACTGAGCGTGTATTTCAAAAACCCTTCTGGCTTCTGCACCTCATACAGGTGAGGTGTGATGCACGGTGCGTGACAAGGGATGAAATCCTGGCCCAGGGCTGGCCTGCCTGCCTTCGTCCCTGTCATGGGATGGGGTCAAGGCGGACCTCAGTGACCAAAGCTGTGGTTCCCATGGATGAGAGGGCTGGGCTGGTTCTAGAGGAGCCAGGCCACACAACAGACTGTTTGGTGGGACCCAGAGACGAGAGGGGCTCCCTTTCCCGGCACCCTCTCCCGGGCTTGGTCGGCAGGGGCCCAGGAGGGGCTCGCTACAAGTCGCTCACCTGGGACGACAGACCTCTGGCCCGACAACGAGATGCCAGGCCTCTTTGTCAGGCACTCCTGGCCTTCGAAGAAAGACGAGACACATTATTGTTCCACGTTGACCATTCTGGGCCAGAAAATTCCCAGCATTCAAAAAGAGGAGCAAAAACAGCTAACCGGGGATAAGAATGGGCCGTGCAGCCTAAGGACAGGAGAGGGTAAGCAGACGCGCGGGGGCTTTGCCAGGGCATCCAGCAACTGGGGGGGGGGCAAGGTCAGGCAGGCCTCACGGTGTCATGGCTGTCCCCGACCCGGCACTTGGGAGCCTTGACAATGAGGACTCTGCACCTTTAACAACCTCAGAAGCACAAGAGTCCTCTGAAGGTTGCAGGAGTTCAAAATAACTGGACAAGACACAAGTCTGTAGAAAGCCATCTGAAGCTGTCTCGCTTCAAGCGTTTTTATTAAGAATTGTTCACTCATTCCCCCTCCTTTACATCAACAATTACATAGTCATTAACATGAGCTACCACATTCAGGAATTTTGTTATGCCAACTTCGCACTTCCCTTATCTTCCCGGGCTCTCTGCCAAATGACTTCATCTGCTTAGGAAGTCACCAGATGCTAACTCGTGCAATCAGCACACACACATACTTGGGTTCCCAATCTACAGGCAGGAGAACAGTAAATTCCAGACTTGCCACCCAGAATCACTGTTCCCACAGTCCTCACCAAACCTAAGTGCAGGGGAGGATGAATACCAAACCACAGGAAAGCTGGCACCTGAACCTGATTAGGCAATACCTGGCCCCAGCAGCTAGCCACCGGATTCTCCGCCACCTGCTGACCAGCTGAGAAATCAGAGACTGACAGTGCCTGACAAAGAGGATCTGGCAACCAGGCACAAGGAGGCACGCTTGCGCGGATGGCGATCATTAAGTCCAGATTACTGACAGAAGCAAGGACTTTGCAAAGGAATGCTAATGAGATAATGACCCAGCACACTATTTGAAGAGACCGCTGGCTGCTAGCAAACTGTGCTGGCAAACTAGTCCGTGGACCAGAACTAGTCTCTATTCACACCTCTAATTCTATTTTGGCTCTTGACTGATCTCCTGGTTCTGAATCCGGTCCGTGTTTTGGTGACCCCTCTGGCTCTCGTTCCCCGGCTTCGCTTCCTGCCTATTATACTGGCTTGGACTCTGACTACTGGTAACGTTTGACTACGGTTTGGCTTTGTGTATTTGGAACGGTTTACTTGGACTCTTGTTGATCTCTCTGGCTGACTCTTGGACTTGCCTATTGACTCTCCCTCTCTGCCCAGTCTCCTGGCTCTGTCGTGGCACACAGCCCCTCCGGCCCCCTTTCCGTCCTCCCTCCCTCCCCACGGTCAGTCTGGCTGGCACTAGCATGGCTGCCCATCCGCTCCTCTGCCACAGCTCCCTCTGGCCAGGCTGGGCTCCTCTGCAAGTGGTGGCCAGCAGCAGGTGGGGTGGAGCAGCGGCACCAGGGCAGCCAGCCACCCAGCCTCCTCCACCTCCCGGCATTCCAGGGGGGCTCCTCCACCACGGCGTGTGCCAAGCACTTTCTGGCTGCAATCCATGGAATGATCCTGCCAAGCAGGTCATGGTGGCCATCCTCTCCCGTGGCAGACAGGGCCTGGCAGGGAATGGCTGGGTTAAGTTCCCCCCACACACTGAGATTTTAACCAGCCAGCCCTAAAACTGTGCTCTGAAGAACCATCTGCAGAGGTGGCTAACTATCTTCACGCTCTCATGGAAGAAGACCTCAGCGCCAATTGTCCGAGGGGGAGGGGAGGGGGAGGAGGAGAAGAGGAGATTGGATTTATGCCTCACCCTTCACTCGGAGTCTCAGAGTGGCTTACAGTCTCCTTCCCTTCCTCTCCCCACAACTGACACCCTGTGAGGTAGGTGGGGCAGAGAGAGCTCTGAGAGAGCTGCTCATGAGAGAACAGCTCTGAGAGAACTTGTGACTGACCCAAGGTCACATCAGCAGGTGCAAGTGGAGGAGTGGGGAATCAAACCTGGTTCTCCCAGACTAGAGTCTGTGCTCTTAACCACTACACCAAACTGGCTCTAGAGCAGTGTTCAGGCTGGGGTGGGTTTCATTATGGAAAACCTCCTAGGAGATATCCCTTTCTGCCAGCTCTACAGGGTATGCCAAGACCCCGGTCCTGCAAGCATCCCCCCTTGCCTCAGAGGACTGCAGAGGCAGGACTGTTGACCAGATTCATGCAACCCATGAAGGTTCTGCAGAGGGGCACTGGTTCCTACAGGGCAGGCCTGGGACTGTGGAGGCGTTAGGCAGGGGTTGGGCCCCATTCTTTGGCTCTTTCAACAAACAAGCCCACGTCCACTGCATGTTTTGTAAGCAAACCTCCAGGTGCTGGTGGAGCACATTCCCTGAAGCCTGTAGATCCAAAAGAGGTCGGTGTGCATACGGCAAAGGCAGAGCAGTTGGTGAAGTCACCGAGCAGGACAGAAGGCCCTCCTGAGGTTCAGTTGCCCAGAACCTCACACTCAGGGAGGGAAAGCAATACGCGGCCCATTTCTGCTCACATTCAGAATCAGGCTGTACTAGCCCAGGGGTGGCCAAACTGGCTTAATGTAGCAGCCACACAGAACACACATCAGATGCTTTGAGAGCCACAAGACATGAACAAATGTTACACACATGTTTTTACTGGGAAATATGCACATTTGCTTCTTATTAACATTACATTAGATTGTGTGAAAGAGCCGCATGTGGCTCCGGAGCTGCAGTTTGGCCACCCCTGGACTAGTATGATCTCAGCCTCCAAGTCATGGCAGTTCAGATGTGTTCGGGTGGGACAGGCCTGTCCAATTTTGAACTTAAAATAAAGCACCAGACTCCATGCCATGGTTGATGAAGACAGTACAGATGCATGGGGCAGGGGCCGAAATAGGGTTGCCAAACCCCCCGGTTTGCCAGGGGTCCCCACACCCACACCCAACACCCACAGCCACCCATCTCTCTCCCTTTAAGGGTGTGCAACCCGTGTTTCATCTCAAGCGCGAACTCCGCAAGCTTGCAGGGAAAAGCCAGCTTCGTTCTTAAAAGGGAAACGCAGCTTCTCTTAAAGGGGAAATGCCGGCTGCCGGCTACTTTAAGTGCAGGGAACTGCTGTTTCTGGAGATCCGGCGCACGGCCGGGTGGGGGGGGGGCGGCAGACGTCCCCAACGTGACGTCATCATGTTGGGGATGCCCCACGCCTTCCAGGAACGCCCCCAAAGTCCCCCGCTGGGGGTGGAAGATGGACTTGGCAACCCTAGGCCGAAAGCAGCCTACAGATAATACCTCTGGTACTGTCTCCTGCCAAGGAAGAAAGTTAAACATGCATTTCTCAAGTCTGACTCCTCTCTCTGCACACAACATACTGTGTACCCTCAGAACCATTTAGAAGAAGAACAGGTTGGATTTATACCCCGCCCTTCATTACCCAAGGGAGTCTCAGAGCAGCTTACAAACTCCTTTTCCTCCCCCTCCCCACAACAGACACCTTGTGAGCAATGTTCCCTCTAAGCTGTGGAGTCTTGTGAGCAAAAATTCTACTTTGTGAGCTACTGGCATTAAAGTTGTGAGCGAGCAATTTGGCTACTGCATAAATCAGTTTGCTCTGGAGCCCTCCTTCCTGAGCTAAGACAAAAATATGTGAGCCGGAGGCTACAAAACTGTGAGCTAGCTCACACTAACTCAGCTTAGAGGGAACACTGCTTGTGAGGTAGGCGGGGCTGAGAGAACTCTGACAGAATCTGCTCTTTTTCAAGAACAGCTCTGATCAGAAGTACGGCTTGCCCAAGGTCATCCAGCCAAGTTGAAGTGGAGGAGTAGGGACTCAAACCTGGTTCTCCCAGATTAGAGTCCGTGCACTTAACCCCAACACCAAACTACACCAAATGAGCTAAATGTACAGACATCCCAGGGTCATGAAGTAAACTTTTATTGTTTAATATTTTTTTTTGCAACAGTTGTAAACTGGCACCCTACTTTCTGATTGGTCCATACAGCAAACTCCCAGCCCAGGAGAAACTCTACAGAAGTGGGCAACCCTTTGTCATATCAGCCTGACATCTTGACCGATTTCACACAAGAGTTGTGCCGCGGTCACGCCTCCCTTTGCCCCGCTTCCATTGGTCAATTTCCCACTTGAAGCCGCACAACCGCATTTTGACCTGCGGCTTCGCCCGATTTTCCCTGCAGTTTTGTGATCCTCAAAAAACAAGATCACAAAACCGCAGGGAAAATCGGGCAAAGCCACGAGTCAAAATGCAGCCGTGTGTCTTTGAGTGGGAAATTGACCAATAGAAGCGGGGCAAAGGGAGGCGCGACAGCGGCGCAGCTCTTGTGTGAAATCGGTCCTTGTCTCCAGTGCCAAGCTCAGGTGCTGATGGAGGGGAGGTTAAACCATCACCCAGAAGAGGAAATGCTTTTAGACTTTTGAGAGTTAGATAGGAAGCAATGGTGTGGTTTTTTTACGGTATTTCTGTATTTTTTCACTTTTTCTGTAGATCTGTTATACCACCTGCACTTAGTAATAAAAACTGTAAAACTTCCTCCTTTGAGTGGAAAGAGTTCCTGTAGTAACTTACCCATGGCTCTGATGCTCTAGGCACCCTGTAGTCCAGAACCCTGTGCCTTCATCACACACATGCATGCAGGATTGATCCACAGGCTGACTTGGGGCAGTTGCATTTTTAAAAGGTTCAACTCAAAGTGGAAACTGCTCTTGGACCTGGGTACAGAATGCCCAGCTGGGGTCAAAGGATCCATCAGTTTGGGGATCCACTGACTAGTCACAGTGGCCAGGATCCATTACAGCAGCAAAAAGACACAGGGACCAGACAGGATCATGTTGGGGGAGGTGGGAGAAGACCCACCGTACTGGGTTGAGAGCAGGACATTGTGAGGCTCAGAAGCTAAATAAAGGCCCCGGTCACACGGAGAATTTGCCACACGAAAAGCACAAATGTCAGGTGGATTTTCAGGGCGCGATCACACCGCAACATCTGGGAAGCGTAGTGCACCCATGGCCAACCTGTGGCATCCTGCCGAAGATGTGGAGT